TTATCTCCACTATCTCCAGCCGCTGCCGGGCAGAGATTTGCGGTTTGAGGGCGGGTGAAGGCGGCGGAGGGCGATAAGCTGGGAGAGGGAAGCGAATGACCGACAGCAGCAGAGCGGGACTGGCCGGAGCTGCGGGGTCCTGCCCGCTCCCCTCCCGGATGCCCCCGACAGCTGCATCCCCCTCCTGCTGCTGGAATGGCCCTGGGAGCAGAGGCTGCCTCTGCCCCTGCCCGGATCTGCTGCCCTGGATGGGTCCCAGACGCGTTTGGGACCCAGGAGGGGCTGCTCACACTGTGCCCAGCTCCAGGTGCCCACAGCTCCTCACCCCCCAAGCCAACATCCAGAGGGAAGCACTCGAGTGTGGGAAGTGGGACAGCGGCCACCCCTGAGCACTTGGCACGTGCAGCTGTCCCAGGCAGGGGACAGGGCAGAGCAGCCACAGACCAGATGCTGCTCAGTGGGACCACGCACCCACCCACCCCTACCTCACCTCCATCCCTACCTCGCCTCCATCCCTGCCTCTCCTCTGTGTCTGGTGTGTCCAGCTGCTGCTCACTGCCTGCTCCAGGCGCTCAGCTCTGTGCTCAGCCTGTTTGTTAACATGCTGCTTTCCCCGTTAGTTCCTCAAAACCAGGGCCGTTAGTTGATGTGACGCTCTGAAGAAGGTGATTGCAAAACACTTCCCTGAAGTCTGCGACCCACTTGCTAGCCATAGACAGGAAAGGCCAGGGGATGGGGACACCCCGAGCAGCACCTGGCCTCCACCCTGCCTGCTCCAGGGCCGGGCATGGCACAGCCGGGATGTGGCACTCAGTTCCTCACTGCAACTGCCTTGGGGCCACCGGGCTGGCCTGGGGGACACGGCAGAGGAACGTGGGCTGGTGAAGGTGGTGGGAAGTCATGGGCTAGGGAATGAGCAACTTAAGGGACAGGAGGCAAACGCAGCTGTGGCTGCCAGTGCACTGTGATGCCACCTGGGAGCAGCTCACATCTTCCATCCTCCACGAAGTCCAGCTTGTCCCTGGGTGAGCGGCCTGCAAGATGTCTGAGGGCAGCCCATGACATGATGTTCCCACCAGTATCTCCCAGTACTGATCATTAACTCATTTTAACAGCTCCTTGCCTGGGGCCGTGCCGAGCTGCTGCGCCCACCCATGCCAGGCTGGAGCACAGCCCCAGCGGGGAGTCCCGTGTCTGGTGGGATGGGGCTGGCAGGGGAGGTAAACAGAGGGTTGCACAACCCTCCACACACTCACAGCCTTCGCAACCACGGCGGCTGTTGTGCAAAAAGCTGTTTACTCTGGGGTTGGGGCGGTGTTTCGCCTCCATGGCACGCTACAGTGCTCACATAGCTCCGCGCTGCCAAAATCTGGGGGGGCAGAGCAGCCCCCTGGGAACAGGGAGTCTCAGTGTGGTGGGACACCAGCCTGGGGACATCTGGCTTTACCTCCTGCAGAGCCAGAGGGAATGGCCTGGGGCTCGCTCTCACTACCGACCTCACAAGCTCGACAGCCCAAGCAAAGGCACTACTCCCCAAATCTGCCCTGCTGTAACGGGTCAGGCTGCTGGAGGGGCTGGACTGGGGGTTCAGCACCCTGGGCTGGGGCACGGGGCCGATGCCCAGTGCCTGCCCGGGCCGGGGGAGCTGCCCTCGCAACATTTCTCTGGGGTGTAGCAACCCCCAGCCCTTCGGGACGGAAGCCGGAGCCGTGCGGGCTGTTTACCAGCCGAGCAGGAATATCCGTGGGTAGCCATGGCGACGTGGGCATCTCCCTGGGAACCGAGGGCGCAGCGCTGCCAGCACCCAGCTGGACACCGAGAAGCGCCCGCCGCCGATGGGGCCCCGCCACAGGCTGGGATCCGGGTTGGGGAGGAGACCTCGCATCCCACAGCAGCGCACGCCTGTCCTCGGGCTCATCTCTGCAGGGAAAGGGCTCGTCCCAGGAGGCTCCGAGCGTGCCAAGCTGGCGGGACAGCCGCCTGCGAGCGGGGATGGAGCAGACCTGCCTCCTGACAGCGCTCTCGGTTCCCCTTCGCCTCTGAGTCACGCTCACAAGCTCACACATCCCGTCCCGGGAAGGGACAGGAATATGAGGCAGGGTGCAAGGTGCCATCCCAGCAGAGATCTTGAGCCGTGGGTCCCGGCCAGCCTGGCAGAGGGGCTGGGGCAGGAGGGTGCATGGGGAGGGGGCTGCCGGGGTGCAGAGCTGGGTAACAGAGGGTCCCACGGTGCAGAGGCACGATGGTGACACAGAGCACGGTGTAGGACAGCAAGGGGAGCACAGTTTGGAGGGAGGGTGGATGCTCACGAGGCAGATTTTGGGGTGAGCGGTGAGGCAATGGCTCCCAGTTTGTGACATGAGAGCCTCCCAAGCCTGAGGCCATCAGGCAAGGGGGAAGGTGGAAAGAGGAAGCGGCTGCGGGGTTTTTCCTGGTCGCAGTGCGTTGGATGGCGTTGGGCAGCAGCCCGTGGGCATGGCCAGACCCTGCGGGCAGCTCTGGTTGCAGTCCACAGGCGGCAGCCCCACACCCGGTACCTGGGAGCTCTCAGCTCCCTCTCTGTGCCTCTGATTCCATCCCTGCTGGGTGGATCATTCCTCTTAAACAGAATAAAGTGCATTCCCAGTGTGTATCAGCTCTGCAGGCAGCAAAACCTGCCTCCCCTAAAGGGATTTTCCCTTTCTTCTTTTCATTCCCTAAATAATAGAATATTGCCAGTCATGTAAGATGCAAGATTCAAGTGCAAAAGCTTCTGCAGTCTCTAATGGGTGAGAAGAGCTGGTTAATTGGTGCCCAATACAATTAATTCAGACTGCCCTCTTGTTCAGCCATCAGCAATGAGGAGGGAGCAGAGGGCTCCCCATCAAGTCACTCTATAGGTGGGCAGAGGTGGTCAAGAGAGGACCCTTGGCTCTGGATCACAGGGGGACATGGGCAGCCTGCCACCATGGGACAGGAGCCTATCCAGGACCCTCCTGTGTCTGCAGGCTGTGGTCACCCAAACACCGGAGATGTCCTTGGTGCTTGTCCCTGTGCCACTGCCAGCTCCTCCCCAGCTAGGCAGCTGCAAATTGGAGAGGATTGATGGCAGGGGTCCTAGAGGCTGACCTTGAATGGCTCCTGACACATTCCTGCGATTAATGAGGCAGGAGGATTAATTTTTGTGTGGTAGATCCAGGGAGGCCCTGCTGGGCATGGGGAGGGGGAGGAGGGGCAGGATGTGCTGCCATTTTTCATCTCTTCTCTACAAGATGCCAAAGTGGTGCCAAGGGGCTGCAGCTCTGGCTTGGCAGAGTGGTTTGACAGGGTGGATGGGAAAGAGGGAGAGATCCTCCATTGGACCACCTAGAACTTGCCTGTCCCTAAATTCCTACCTCTGTTGCACAGGTGTCTGTGGCAGAGGAACCTCCCTATGTCCTTTGGCCAAGCCCTGTACCAGCCTCTCACCCCTCATACTCCTGGAAATTCCTGCTCTTTTCTGCTGAGTCACTCCAGAGCTCAGACTTGTGAAGCATCTTCTGCCATTGCTGTAAAGAAATTTCCCTTTGATGCTGCCTCTCATCAAACCAGCTGGGCAGGGGCTTTTCTCCCCCCAGCAGAGCCCTCACCTCGCTGTGCCCATGGTGTCAGTCTGGTCCCAGCTGTCGAGGCTGTGTGCCCACACCCGACACTTCCCGGCAATCAGGCTGCAAGCAAATCACTATTATTTTTCCGCTCTAATAAACACCTCTGACAATAATAGAAAAAAACCCAGCTTTTGTCAGGAGAAAAGGATACCTGGGGATTATTTGCTCAGTCAATAGCTGCAGGTAGGGGCCACTGACAGCTGCTCGTGGCTGGAGTGGCTGGAGCATTGCATGGAAAACTCTCCCAACTGTTCCCCCCTTGCTGTTGCTGTATGAACCCCCTGCCTCGGCTGTGCTGCCCAGGGAGATGCCCTTCATTCCCCATCCATGTCACTCTGGGACACAGTGCCAGTGCCAGGCCCCTGGAAGGCACAGGGGTGCTCGAGCTGTGGGGTGGGAATGTGACTTGGAGTGGGCACTTCTCTTCCAAAGGCTCAGACCTGTGAGAGCAAAATGTCCATGGTCAATTGAACTAATCACAAAGGCACTGAAATGACTTTGTGAGGTTATAAACATCCCTACTTGAACCCAGTGACACATGGAAATAGGAATTCAACCAAGCAGCCTCCAAAAGTGCTTTATTCCCCATTATTTTCATTAGCTGCCTTGTAATTTGATTTGTCCCTCTCTTGCCATTGGCTTTTTCCATGGCCAAGAGGAGTGCCAAATGAAACACCCACAAATGAGCCTCACAGTGTCCAGGGGTGTCAGGAGTGACACAGCTCCCCTGGCTCCTGGAAAACTGCCATGTCTGTGCCGTGTGAGATGGGACTGAAGGCTGGGGTGCCTGGACCACCCTGATGGCTCTGATACTGCCCAAATCTCCTGGCCAAGACTCCCTGAGGCTCAGTTCCCATCAGTGCCCTTCCTGTGGGGCACAGGGTGAGGGCCCCAGGGCTGGCACCGTGTCAGCACCATCACCTGTCTCTGGGTGATCCTGTGCCCCCTGCTCCACACTGACATCCTGTCCCCATTATCTGCAATTTCCTTAAAAGCTGTCAGGCATCGAAGGGGGCCCCTTTGCAAATGAAGAGAGGAGGAAACAAGCAGGTCTGCATTTCCCACTAGAAATTAATCCCCCCTTCTTAAAGGCACCAGTGAATGAGGCCAAGTTGTTAAGTGACAAAAGAAAAATGGTTCTTGCCTTCCAGGGTTATTAAAATCATGTTCTACAATTTTAGCAGCCACAAGGAAGCCCAGATAATGACAGATGATGATAATCCATCTCCAGCACAGCCTGGTCTATAATGATACTGCCCATATCTCTTGTATTACCACCAATTACTCAGTGTATAATGAAAAAGTACATCCATTCTGGGGAGCTGCATTTGCTAGCTCTGAATCAAATTTCTCCTTCCCCCAGTACTCTCCTGCTACAGCTGGAGCCCCCACCAGGCCTGGCTCTGGGATCTGGCTTGGGGGATCCAGCCTGTCCCTGGCAGGGTCTTGTGCCTGTGAGGGCTGTGAGTGCCCCTCACCTTGGCCCCGACCTCCTGGGGCTGCACAAGGCCTGACTGGGGACACAGGCAGGACAGGAGAGGCTTTGAAATGCAAATAGCAGGAAGAACCTGAGGACATACAAAGCAAAGTGAATGGTCTCTTCTGGTGGAGGTGCCAGCTCAGAACCGACCAACCAACCCAGCCTGGGCTGCCCCCATGAGCTCCAAGAAGCCATCCCTGCTGCCAAAATCCAGGTGAAAGTGCCTGTCCAAATGCTGAGGTGGCATCATCCTGCTCAGCACAGCATCATCCCCCTCATCATCACAGCATCATGCCACGGGGCAGAGCAGAATCCTGCCCAGCACAGCATCATCCTGATGGGCATGGCATCATCCTGCTCAGTACTGCATCATCCCCCTCATCTTCAGTGGTACACACTGGAACACTCTGGCACACACTGGCACACACAGGCACATGTGGGCACACACTGGCACACGCTGACACACGCTGGAACACTCTGGCACACGCTGACACACATTAGCACATGCTGGCACATGCTGGCATACTTTGGCACACTCTGGTACAGCATCATCCTGCCCAGCAC